CCAAGCTTGGGCAGTAAAGAAACCATGGAAAGCATAAAGCTGGTAAAGATGTAATTTAATGAGGGGATCATGTTCCAGCCCTGGAAAGCACCAGAATATGGCAGCTTTGGCCATGTGGTGCTGCCTTTAAAATCAAGGACAGAAGAATGGGGTTATAGAATATCCCTGTGAGACTAAGGAATGCTGCTGGGTCCAGGCATGTGTCAGGGGTAACCCTGCATGAAACTATAAAGTTGAAGCCTGGAATTTCTTAGAAACCCCAAGATGTTAGAAATGCCAGAACCATGGGGTGTAATGTCAGGACCCATAGAAATGGCTCCACTTCATCCTGACTCAAGGACAGGCCTGTTCACAGGCTCCAACAGTTCATAGATGGGGTGAGCCAACTCATAGCCCTGGTTCGGAGGAGCCTGGTTGGTCACCCCACCAGCTCCCCCTTTTCCTCACCACCAGGATGAGCGTCTCTCCACCATGCCTTTCCATGTTCAACTAATGCAGCAGGCAGCAAGTGGCAGATCTATTTCTCCAGATCTCATGCCTTCAGGTTGGGCTCAGCACTACCCACACTACCAGGGCCAGCTCTAGTATGTTGCTTAGGCAAGTGCAGTGTCCAATTTCCGGAGGGTTACAGTTGGTGAGATACAGTATCAGCTTTCCTGCTCTCATGCTCCTGAGGCCATCTCTCTTCTCTGCAGCAGGTGGTAAGAGGTGAAGCAGGGGCACCATCTTTCCCTTGCCCTTGACACCTCATGGCAGATGAGGCAAGACAGGGCCAGCTCTCCCACTCTTATGCCCTCAGGGCCAGGTGACCTGCGTCCCCAAATGTGCTGCCCATGAAAGGTGCAGGTCCCAGTCTCCTAAGTCCTGCCATAGCCAGTGAGGGTCAGGGCCAACTCTCCCTAAATGATTCAGCAAATAAGGGGCAGGTACCACTTTGAGCTGCCCTATACTCAGAGCCTCCAGTGGTAGCAGGAGGCACAGACATGAACACAGATTGTGGCAGAGGCATGGACCCAGACATGGTCCATGGTAGCAGCCCAGACCAGGATTTCATCATGAACCCAGATGGGAAGCAGGTTGCACACATCAGCCTGTTACTCACCCACCGTCTTCATCTTCAAATCTGCCTCTCTCCACAGGACATAGCCATTCTACTTTGTTCTCTCTCCCATACCCCACCATATGTTTGTTCACAATAAAGATGCCTTGAAGCACCAGGAAGGCCTGTAGTTTCTTCTACCCATATGAGCCAAACATCCCCAGGAAGATGTGTGTGTCCTCACTTTCCCAGTCCTCAACTTTGGCGTTTTTGTAAGGTATATTTTTCATCCTTTATTATTTATATTCTTGTGACAGGGTCTCTCAAGTATCACAGAGTTACCTCCAATCGTATGTGCATAAAAGGATGGCCTACAATATGTAATCCTCCTGTCTGCACCTACTGAGGACAGTAATAAATGTGTGAGCCACCATATGTAGGTCTATAATCAAATCCAGAGCTTCATGTGTGGTAGGTAATTGTTCTATCAACTGAGCTACATTGCCAGTCTCATTTATTTTTTTCTCAATGGTTCCTATTGGGTTTTAGTTGTTATAAGAAGGGAAGAAAAGCAATCATGGATTTACTCTACAATGACAGATACTGGAAAGTTTGCCTTCTTTTTATTGCTCTTTCACAACTTGGTCCCCCAACTGACTCCCACATTCAGGGGGCCTGGTCCGGGCCTATCCTGGTTCCACAGCTGTCAGACTGATGTCCCTGTGCTCCCACTTGCTCAGGTCAGTTGTTTCTGTGGGTTTCCCCAGCATGGTCTTGACCAATTTGCTCATCACTCCTCTCTCTCTAAAACTGGATTCCAAGAGTTCAGTTCAGTGTTTAGCTGTGGATACTTGCTTCTGCTTCCACAGCTACTGGGTGAAAGCTCTAGGATGGCAATAACGTATTCATCAATGTCATTAATGTGGAAAAGCATTTAAGGTAGCCTCTCCACTATTGCTTAGACCTTTTATTTTTTCTTTAAACTAGAAACAAAATTGTTTTACATGTCAGTCCTTGTTCTGTCTCCCTCCTCTACTCCCCTTCTCCCCACCAATCCCTTATGCAATCACCTTTCTGCTCCCCAGGGAGCATGAAGCCTTCTGTGGGGGATCTTCAAAGTCTGTCATATCATTTGGAACAGGGCTTTGGCCCTCCCCTCATGTATCTAGGCTGAGAGAGTAGGCCTCTATATGGCATGGGCTTCCAGAGTCCATTCATATAATAGGGATAAATACTGATCCACTACCAGAGGCCCCATAGATTGCCCAGGCCTCCTAACTGACACCCACATTCAAGTGGTCTGTATCAGTCCTATGTTGATTTCTCAGATATCTGTCTGGGGTTCATGAAGTCCCCCCTCATTAATGTCATCTGTTTTTGTGGTTTTCTCCAGTGTGGTCTTGATCCCTTTGCTCATCATTCTTCCCTCTCTGCATCTAGATTCCAGGAGTTCAGCTCAGCATTTAGATGTTGGTATCTGCTTCTGCTTCCATCAGCACCTGGATGAAGTCGCTAGGATGACATATAAAGTAATCATCAATTTCATTATTGGGGAAGAACATTTAAGGTATCTCTCCACCATTGCTTAGTTTTTTAGCCATCCTTGTAAATCCTTGGATATTTACTTACTGCCAGATTTCTGTTTAAACCTATAATGGCTCACTTTGTTAATGTATCTGTTTTCTTGCTCTCTTTCTGTATTTTTACCTCACCTGAATCTTCCTGATCCCTCAAGTTCTCCTCTGCCCCTCCTCTTCTTCCTACCTCCATCCCAGGTGCTCCCAATTTGCTCAAGAGATCTTGTCTCTGTCCCTTTCTCCAGGTGTTGGTGTATGTCTCTCTTAGGGTCCTCCTTGCTTCCTAGCTTCCCTGGGGTTGTGAATTGTAGGCTGGTTATTCTTTGTGTCTAATATTCACTTATGAGTATAGCTCTCAAGTTTGATTGGGAGATATAGAGATGTGAATTACTATCCAAAACAAATTCTAAAAGAAATGGAAAATAACCACTCTCCTTGATGATAACATGACAATGTAAACTTTGAGAATTTTCTCCAGAGAAGTAAACATCTGTGTTGGGTAACTGAAACATCTGGGGCATTCATCCAAAGTGTAAGCAGCAATGAAGTGCAGTTTGGATTGTCCTCAGTTCTTTCCTGGAGTGATGGAAAACTTACAGTATTCCTCTGGTGATCATTGAACATGGCCACGAACACAGAGCAGACATTATATGACCTTCAATGTTACTATTTCTATCTGTGCATTTGTAGATTTCAGTTTAAATGTGTGGTTATGGGAACACATGTAGATGACAGTGATAGAAACAGGAGCACTGAAGAAGGGGAAGAATCAGTGTAAAGGAACAGGAAATTATGCTGTTATTATCATGTAAATGCTAACATGCTAATGAAGCTCTATGCAGTAGGAGACATACATTTGAGATGGTATGTAACTGTCTTCCTGTGTATCATATAGTGTTTAGCATGGGTTGGTGCAAACTCCTGTTTCTCTGGCCGTAGCCTCTCAAATTGTGGTCCATGATCAGAAAACTGACAAGAGGTGTGACTCTTGAAATCTCAGTATGGGCAGGTTAAGAATAATAATAATATTGGGAAATATCTTAAGAAAAAGGGATAGGAATGCCAGCCAAAATTGTTTTTATAGCAACTCTCACCATCAGCAGCCATCCTTCCAGTAAATCTCAATGCATTTGGAAGTGATTGTAACTTATAGCCTTATCTGCATACTACATATTGTGGAATTCTAGATACATTTTTGAATGGGTGCATAAATTAAATCATACTCTAACAGAGCATGGAACTAACACTACTTCCAGTTGTTCCCTCTAGGAGAAGCTATGAACAGTAGGCTTCTTCAGCGGGAGACTAGAGAGGAGTAAAGGGGGTATGGGGGAACTGGTTTAACTAGAGTGTTTCTCTGCCTCTGTCTGCAAAAAGGATGGCCACAATCAGATGTAAGGTTGGAGGCATTTAACCAGAGTTCTAATAGCAAGTCGTTTTGTCTGATACTGACAAAATAAGGAACAACACCAAGAGAACTCAGTAGTGTGCTGTGTGTGTGTGTATGTGTGTGCAATATTGATTAAAGAAGAGGTCATTAATTGAAGGAAGTTGGAGGCACAGAGAAGGAGTTGAAATAGAAAGACATGGGTTGAAAATGATATAAATGCACTACTCATGTATCAATTTCTGAATTAATTAAATGTCTTTTTAATCAATATTTGATTATTTTTATTTTCATTTATTAATTTGTGTATTTGTCCAATCTTCCAGCTTAAAACCAATGCTAGCTGTTATCAGCTCTTATACCTCCCATGTAAGCGTCCTTCTAACTTATAGCCACAAAGCTGTAATACCCCAATACTCTTCCAGTGACCATCATCAATTTCTAACCGCATTACATTGATACCGATCTGACCCAGTCTCAGAGAAACTTCCACCTTGAGGTCTTTAATGCACAGAAACTCATCTTACCTCTTAGGAGAATACTCTGCGTTCCCGGTGACCCCCTCTTCCACTTTCCCTTTAAAAGAAGCCAAATTAGCCATCCATAATACTGACAGGTATCAAGAAAACAAATGAGTCTATGAATCTGTTTGCACATTTGAGATTGTGCCATAATGAATGATCATATCCTGATACAACTGTACCAATAAAATAATGTGATGAAACAAGGGATACTAAAAATAACATGCATCTCTCAAGACTCAAGATTCATTTACTCCTTTTTCCCCAGAGAAACACACATTCTTCCTGAAAAAGTATGCTCATTCATGGTCTGCCCTGAGACACCTGAGGTCTCTGATCTCTTGTTGAATAACTGAACTGAACCAGGCCTGCAGCTGTGCACAGGCCCTGGGGATTTGCATGTGCTCAGAGCACAGCCCACTGCCTTGAGGAATTATTCATAAGACTGTCATAGTTTGTGCTGTAGTCAGTCCTGACCAGGTTACAGCAAGGACATGGGATTCCCCACTCAACTCCTGGTAGTCCTGCTGCTCTGGTTCTCAGGTAAGGAAGCACAGCAATGGTCATTTGTTTATCCCAATGTGATTAGTCCTAAGTGAAATTTTAAGTTATTTGTCTTTCCACATGCTTACTCATTGGCTGTATTTTGTGATTTTAATTTCAGGTGGCAGATGTGACATTCAAATGACACAAACTCCATCCTTCCTTTCTGCATCTTTGGGAGACACAATCAGCATCACTTGCCAGGCCAGTCAGGGCATTATCAATTATTTAAACTGGTACCTGCAGAAACCAGGGAAAGCTCCTAAGCTCCTGATCTATTATACAAACAGCTTGGGAGCTGGAGTCCCATCGAGGTTCAGTGGCAGTGGGTCTGGGTCACAGTAATCTCTCACAGTCAGCAGTATGCAGGCTGAAGTTGCTGGCATTTATTTCTGTCAGCACGCTTATGGTTACCCTCCCACAGTGATACATGCCATGTCATAAACCATCCAGAGAAGCAGAAGTGTGAGGCTGTGCTGCCTCACCTGCATCTTCGGGTAGCTGCATCATCTGAGAGCTATTGTCAGGCACTGTGAGGCATTGAAGGACACTGGGGAGTGGTTAGTATAAGCAGCTAAGCAAATCTCATGAGTCCCAACTTTAAGTCTTGTCATCATCAGGAACACGAAAACAATTACAAACTCAATTTCCATAAATACATAGGTTACAATACTTTGTTGTCTGAGCTGTATATTCAGTTGAGATCATGAAGCAAAACAGAAGACAGCCCAATTATAAGAAGCTACAATTTGGGATCTATTTTGTAGCAATTAACTTGCTTAAATCCCGGTGGGTCAGGTGTTCAGGAAGGTTTGTTATGTAACTGAGGTTAGTTTGTTTGAGTAGAAGTTAGAGTTCATTTACCAAAGAACTTGTGGACTGGGTAAACATGTGCTCCTGATACTTGGTCTTGTAGCATAAGTTTGGATGCCAAAGCTCCAATCTCTCTGCAACAGCAATTACATATATCCTTGCATCTGTCTACAGTTTGCTGCTGGATATTGGACTGTGCTTTTCCATCTCTCAGTACTAATGTGAGGGCTCATAAATGTGTATTTCTTTGAGAAAAGATACATAGTCCAGAACTCACCAGCATCAGTTATGTAACTGTCATTTTATTGGAAAGACAATGTAAGTTATTGCTTTGCCCTCTAGAAGATTTTAAACATCACTACACTCGCATATTATGAAAAAGAGTCTTTTTTTCTTTAAATTTTAGGTATGTCATGACATTCCTCATTTTTACATTATGATTTAATGAGGATTCTGAATTTGTTCTTTTTTATATTTATTTTACATATCAACCCCAGGTTCCTCTCACTCCCACACTCCTGCTACCCCCACCTCTACCCCACCCTAACTGCATCCATTCTAGAGAGAGTGTAAGGCCTCACATCGGGAATCATAAAAATCTTTCACATTAGTTTAGGCTCTTCCCTCTGTGTCTAGGCTGAACAAGGTATCTCAACATGGGAAATGGGCTCCAAAAATCCAGTTCATGTACTAGAGATAAATATCAGTTCCACTGCTAGTGATTGCATAAACTGTCCAAGCGTTCCAGTTGTCACCCACATTGAGAGGTCCCAGTTCAGTGTAATGCAGATTCTCCAGCTGTCAGTCGGGAGCCAGTGAGGTCTCAGTTGTTCCGGTCAACTGTTTTTGTTGGTTCCCCCTTGTGGTCTGATCTTTTTTTACATACATCCATACATACATATATACATACATGCATGCATTTTAGTTTTTATCTTATATTTAAATTTCAATTAGAAGCAAGGTTGCTTCACACGTCAATCCCAGATCCCTCTCCTTTTCCCTCCCCTCCTCCCATGCCCTCCCACCAACCCCCCCCCAATAACCACATGTTTCCCAAGGGAGGGAAACCCATTTTCTGCTCCTCTTTCTTTCCACAGTTTTGGAAGCCCATTTCCCAGATGTTCTTTGTTTTGTCTGTGTCCTTCTACTATGGGCCCTACTGTATAGTATGGGACTTAGAGTAGAATGAGTCAATATACATATCAATATACATTTAAGTATGTACGTAAAGATACTAGTAGAAATGAGGACTGGAGTACCACCAGAAAAGTACTGTGGAGACCAAAGAACATTAAGATCCCATCCCTAGGCTTCTTGGACATTTCTGAAGACAAGAGACCTTGAAGTCTCCACCTTAAAATTGATATCTGAATGAGAACCAAGGAATCGCCTATTAGAGATACTGACTTTCTTGAAACAATAGATTCCTTTGTAATTAATTACTTTTGTGTGCCTGATTCTTTTTTTAAATTTTATTTATTTTAATTTAATTTAAATGAGAAACAAGTTTGGTTTATACGTCAATTCCAGCTCTTTCCCCCTGTCCTCCTCTCATGACCCTTTCAAACCTCCCCCAATCTCCACTCTACTATCTAAGGTGGTTGAGGTCCTTCATGGGGGCTCTCCAATGTTTGTAATATGATCTGGGGCAGAGCTATGGCCCTCACCCATGTGTCCATGCAGAGACAACTTCCCACTGTGTGGAATGGGCTCCCAAAGTCCATCTGGATGACAGGGCTAAATGCTGATATATTGCCTGAGACCCCAAAGATGCCGAGTCCTCCTCACTGACACCTATATTCAGGAGGTCTGGATCAATCCTATGCTGACCTCTCAGCTATCAGTCTGGGGTCTATGAGTTCCCCCTTGCTCAGGTCAGCTGTTTCTGTGGGTTTCACCCGCAAAGTCATAACCCCTTTGCTCATCACTACTCCCTCTTTGCAACTGGGTTCCAAGTGTTTAGTTCAGTGTTTAGCTTTGGGTGTCTGCCTCTGCTTTCTTCAGCCACTGGATGAAGGCTCTCGGATGGTATACATAGAAGTCGTCAAGCACATTATATGGAAGGGCATTTAAGGTAGCCTCTCCACTATTGGTTATATTGCCAGTTGGTGTCATCCTTGTAGGCCTCTGGACATCTCACTAGTACCAAATCACCCTTCAAACCTATAATGGCTCTTCCTTTTATGCTATCTCTCATCCTTTTCTCCTTTATTCTTCCCCCTATTCAACTTTCCTGCTCTCCCATTCCCCTCTCTTCCCTCTTCTCTACCCCCTCTCTTTCTCCCACATTCCTCACTCCTCCCCTGTGCTGCCAATCCCTTCAGAAGATTCTGTCCTGTTCCTCTTCTCTGGGTTACCATGCATATCTCTCTTAGGGTCCTCCATGTTTCCCAAACTTTCTGGCTGGGGATTGTAGGCTGGAACTCCCCTGTTTCAGGTCTAAAATCCATATATGAGTGAGTACATACCATGCTTTTCTTTTTGTGACTGGGTTACCTCACTCAGGATGGTGTCTTCTAGTGCCATTGATTTGCCTGCAAGTTCAAGATTTCATTTTTTTCCCCACTGAGTAGTACTCCACTGTGTAAATGTACTACATTTTCTCTATTCACTCTTCAGTTGATAGGCATCTAGTTTGCTTCCAGGTTCAGGTTATTACAATAATGCTGCCATGAAGATTGTGGAACAGATATCCTTGTTGTATGAATGTGGATCTTTTGGGTATAGGCCTAAGAGTGGAACTGCTGGGTCTTTTGGTAGACTGATACCCATTTTTCTGAGGTACCTCCATACTGATTTCCAAAGTGGCTGTGTGAGTTGGCACTCCCACCAGCAGTGGACGAGTGTTCCCTTCTCATAACATCCTCTCCAGCATAAATTGTCATTGGTGTTTTTTATTTAGCCATTCTGACAGGAGTAAGATGGTATGTCTGAGTTGTTTTGATCTGCATTTTCCTAATAACTAAGGATGTTGGGCACTTTCTCAAGTGTCTCTCAGCCATTTTAGATTCCTCTATTGAGAATTCTCTATTTAGTTTGTTGCCCCACTTTTTAATTGGATCCTTTGGTGTTTTGGATACTTGCTTTTTGAGCTCTTTGTAAATCTCGGAGATCAGCCCTCTGTCAGACATGGGGTTAGTAAATATCTTTTCCCTTTCTGTGGGCTGCCTTTTTGTCTTGTTGACTGTGTTTTTGCCTTACAGAAGCCTCTCAGTTCAGGTGGTCCCATTTATTAATTATTGATCTCAGTGTCTGTGCTACTGGTGTTATGTTCAGGAAGTGGTCTCCTGTACCAATTCATTCAAGGGTACCTCTCACTGTTCCTGTTATCCCTGATCTCTCCAAGACCTTCACCATGATGGGTTGTTGGCATTTGTCAAAGGCTTTTTCTGCATCCAGGGAGATATTCATCTGGTTTTTCTCTTTTAGATTGTTTATATGATGGAATACATTGATAGATTTTCTTATGTTGAATCATTCCTGCATTGCTGGGATGAATACTACTTGATCATGGTGTATGAACTTTCTAATGTGTTCTTGGATTTAATTTTCGAGTATTTTTTTGAGTATTTTTGCATCAATGTTTATGAGGGGGATTGGTCTGTAGTTCCCTATCTTGGTTGTGTATTTGTGTGGTTTGGGTACTAATGTGATTGTAGCTTTGCAAAAAGTGTTTGGCAATGATCCTTCTGCTTCTGTTGTGTGGAACAATTTGAAGATTATTGGTATTAGCTCTTCTTTGATTTTCTGGTAGAATTCTGCACGGAAACCATCTAGACCTGGTCTGTTTTTTTACTTGGAAGAATTTTGGTATCTGTTTCTATTTCTTTAGGCATTATTGGTGTAGTTAAGTTGTTTATCTGTTGTTGATTTAATTTTTAAGTGATATCTATCCAGAAAATTGTACATTTTCTATAAATTTTTCAATTTTGTGGAGTACAGGTTTTCAAAGTATGACCTGATGATTCTTTGGATTTACCCAGTGTCTGTTGTTATGTCCCCTTTTTCATTTCTGATTTTGTTAATTTGCATGGTCTCTCTCTCTGCCTTTTGATTAGGATGGATAAAGGTATGTCTATCTTGTTGATTTTCTCAAAGAACCATCTCTTTGTTTCAGTGATTGCATTGTTTTATTTTTTCTACTTTATTGATTTCAACTCCCAATTTGATTATTTACTGGAGTCTCTTCTTTCTGTGTTAGTTTACTTTCTAACCTAGAGCTTTCAGGTGTTCTGTTAATTCTCTCATGTGGCTACTCTCCAGTTTCTTCATATGGGCACTTACTGCCATGAACTTTCCTCTTAGAACTGCTTTTAGTGTGTCCCAAAGTTTTGGGTATGTTGTTTCTTCATTTTCATTGAATTCTAGGAAATCTTTGATTTCTTTCTTCATTTTTGTCTTTACCCAGGAGTGATGCAATTGAGCATTGTTCAATTTCCATGTGTTTATGGGGTTTCTGCAAATTGTGCTGTTGTTGAATTTTAATTTTAAGCCAAGGTCGTCTGATAAGTTACAGGGGGTTATTCCTTTTGTTTGTATCTGTTGATGTTTGCATTATTGCCAAATATGTGGTCGATTTTAGAGAAGGTTCCATGTGGTGCTG